AAATCTGAAATATATGGACACTATACTTGCAGAGCTGTCAAGAGACAAAATTATAGGCCTTACAGACTCTTACAATAATGGACTATGAAACAAACAGTTGGACACTATCCAAATTCTGGAAATGTGTCTCTATTCCCACTTATCGCATATGGGTAATGCTATCAGAACTCATAATAGTATGTTAAAACCTCAGTCTTCCATTAGGAAGATTTATTTTTCCATATATCGATAATTTGTAATACAGATTCTGTTACATATTTCTATTACAATGTCCTTGCAAGGGCACATTCAGTGGAATGCTCAGAGCCGCAATTCATGGACACAAGAAACTGAATGAGTTTTTATCCTAGCTGGTTTTGGAATTCACAGAAGTAATTTTTGCAAATTTACTTTTGAAGAAATGACACAGCCAGCAAATCAGGTTCCATTTTGAAAGGGGTTTCATGAACTAATGTGAGTCTACGAAAAGGTGAGAGCTCAATTTTCAACAGTTAATTCCTATACACAATAGGAATAATGGACTCAGCTCACTAACCTGAAAATATACAACAAATGGTACTGCTAACCTCAGAATAATTAATTTCTTTCATTCACATTGAGATTTGACAAAAGCATTGCTGGTCTCATGGTGTTACTACCTATAACAAGTTAGAAAAATGAAAGCGTTTTCTTAACAGCTTTTTCCCTCTTGTAGGGGATGAAAAAGAATCCAGCACCACAAAGATATTTTCTTAAATTTCTATGGTGCTTCATAGTTGACCGAGTGCTTTTAAAACTACTAGAGTAACGGTATATTTGCTTAAAGGGAGCAACCCAAGTACAGACAGAATGGTCTATTTAGAAATTCAAGAACTTATTTTCAGCAGATATATTTTTGATGGAAACAAAAGTTGGTGTGACTATTTACCTGCAGACACTAAAGAGTTCTCAGAGCTCATGTATAACCAGTCACCTTGACAAGCTCTATACAGGGTGCCTGGTACATAGACCTCCAGTTGGAGTCACAATGCCCTCCACATTCATGGAGGGGCTCAACAGAGCCTTCCAACCATGCGCTTGAACTAGAACTTGATCTTGAGATCCCAAGCCTATTTGGGGCACCTATTCTTCTCTCAATCTTCCAAACATATTATATCAATTTAATTAGGGAAGGTATCTTTTTTTCAAGTCCTTAGTCACCAAAAAAAAAAAAAATTGACCCAAATACTAAGAGGCTGAAGAAGGATGAAAGTGTTAATTTTTTTTCTTATTTAAAAAATAAGAAATCTTTGAGTTAATGGGAATTGACTCAATTTCTTTGCTGTCTTTCAGATTAAACAGTAACTTTGGGCTCTGGCATCAGTACCCGTTACTCTAGTGCTTCCCTACATGTTTATCCTCTTCTGTATATAAAAACATACATAGTATGTTTCATAGTAGCTAATCTCTTTTTCTCCCACTCAGAAGAAATCTTTACTTTCTTTTCTACCTTCTATTAAAACAATAATAATGCTTTTCTACACAGAATGGCTTAAAAACAATAATTAAAAAAACCATAATAAGAGAATGCCCTACTCACCTTTGGCCTATTATCTAAAAATCTTTTCATTCCTTAACCCTCTGCTCTTTAAGGAACATCCCTAGTTAAACAGATTCCCACTAATTCTACGCATCATCTTTGCTCTTTTTCTTTCAACATTCTCTTCTAATGTATACATTTGTCTGTATTTACCTCTGTCTACTGTTTTTTCCTCTTTCAAACTGAAACATCTTTGAGAGAATGGGTCTTATATTATTTCCATATTATTATTGACATATCATTTCCATATTCATCAACTTTTTACTCTGGTAATGCACTATATACTAATTTATTAAACTCTTAATGTCATTCACACTAAAAACAGACTAGAAAGAAAACTGGGATGGCAATGATCACATAATGGTGAGAGGATGGATATTGTAACAGTGTACGAAGTACATTCACCTGAAGCCAAATTTGTGATTTGCACACAACTCTCCAGGACTGGTCCCTATGTACCGGGATTTGGTTTCTCCAAAAGAACGGTTGTAGAGACTTCTCTTGTGTGACATCATAGGATGTAAGAAGGCAAAAGCAACAGGTCAATACTGGCATTAAAGAGAGGGAGAAAAGCCTAATTTTTAAAGATTTTTCTTTCCCTAAAAAGCATAATTACACATCAACAGAAAAGGATTATCTTAAATTTGCACAGTGCTCTACATTTTTAAAGTGCATTCACAAACAAACCTATGAAGTAAGCACAGTAGTTCTGCTTATCCTAGGTTTTAGGTGAATTCCTTAAACATTCCTTATCTTTTC